GCCACAGCTTCTCTGGGCACCCTGTGCCAGGGCCTCAACACCCTCACARCCAGAAATTCGTCCCCARTATCYCATCCATCCCTGCCCTCTGGCAGTKTGAMSCCATTCCCTGTGTYCTGTCCCTCCRTCCCTTGTCCCCAGTCCCTCTCCAGCTCTCCTGGAGCCCCTGCAAGGGGCTCTGAGCTCTCCCTGGAGCCTTATCTTCCCCAGGTGAGCACCCTCAGCTCTCCCAGCCCGGCTCCAGCCCTGGAGGCAGCTCCGTGGCCTCTCTGGACTCGCTCCAGCAGCTCCAGGTCCTTCTGATGTTGGAGGCAGCACTTGAGTGGGATCGGCCGGGGAGCGCTGGTTCTGCTGCCGGGAGGGGAGGAAAAGGAGCGGGATGGGCGGAACGGGGCCGGTCCTGAGTCCCGGCGATCCCGGAGATCCCGGCCGGTCACTGCCGCCGCCTGCCGCCCGCAGCGGGACACGCACCACGGAGCGACAGGACACGGGGACCCTCGGACAGCCCCTCCATCCCCGGCCGGACCCCTCGCTGTGCCCCCGCACTCCCTGCTGGTCTCTGCTCAGGCACAAGTGCCCCCGCACACCCCGCAGACACCCCCGAGACCCTCAGCAGATGATCAGAGCTGCACCCACCCAGCCCGGACACACTCACCGGGGCCTGAACAAGTGTTTTTCCTTTCCTTTCCTTTCCTTTCCTTTCCTTTCCTTTCCTTTCCTTTCCTTTCCTTTCCTTTCCTTTCCTTTCCTTTCCTTTCATTCATTCCCCTTTCCTTTCCTTCACCCTTTCCTTTCCTATCCTATTTCCTATTTCCTTTCCTTTCCCCTTTCCTTTCCCCTTTCCTTTCATTCATTCTTTCCTTTTTCCTTTCCTTTCCTTCATCCTTTCCTTTTTTCCTTTCCTTTCCTCACTCCCCACCAGCCCACTCTTCCTCCCCATCCCAGGGGTGATTCCCTCCTGCTCTCCCCCTACCCCCCGAGTTCCAGGGATCCCTCCCCCTGGTCCCAACCCTCCTCCTGTCACTCCCCTCACCCCCCTTCTCCGCCCCGTGTGATGCAGCCACCCGTGACTCGCCCTTGGTTTTTCTGGAAACCCCACCGAGCCCAAAACCACTTTCCTTGCTCTTTCCGGTCATCCCACGGCTGGGACAAACCCTGCTCCGGGCAGGTCTTGAGCAACTGGGAAGCGTTGCTCCATCGCCCCCTTCCTGCCCGACGCCTTCCCACCGCGGGGCTGTTTGCTTTCCTCCCGTTTTCCTCCCTCGGGCACACCTGGCAGGATGCGATGCCGGCAGCCCCTGGAAAGGCGGCTGGAAGAGGCGGCTGCAGCCCTGGAAAGGCGGCTGGAGGAGGCGGCTGCGGCCCCCGGACCCCCCACGGGAGRAACCCGCGGCTCTCGGCACAATTCCCGACTTCCCGGGGCTCTTTTCTCCTCCGGGGCGAGCCCGCAGCTGGAAATAATCGTCRGGATTGCAGCCGGTGACTCAGAGCGGCTCTGTTGTCCTCCCAAAMCTCCCCTCTGCTGGGGACAATGTCACAGCCAGGCTGAGGGGACACGGGGACCAGCCCTGTCTCTGTCTCTTTGGTGTCCGTACGTGTTTAAGGTGCATTTTCCCAGAAAGAAATCCCGCTGTTCCAAGGGAGGAAAAACACCGGGGTGTCACCAACGTGAGAGTTCCCCATCCCCGTGCTCCGATCCCTGACCCCGGCTGCCTCCCCAGCCTCTCAGCGCATCATTTTGGCAACGGGAGCACCACCTAGCCGCGCCAGCGAGCTGCGAATCCCCAAATCCCGCCGCCTGGAAAGAGGGAAAGGCTCAAAGCCTGTTTAGTCTGGGAAAACCGGAGCTGGGGAAAACATGGGAACAACCGGGAAAGACGCCGGGGAGGGGAAGGCAGCGCTCTGCTCTAGAAACAAGGGCCCCAGGGAGGGCAGCGAGTCTGGGATGGGTCGGGAAGCACCAGGCAGGGATGATCCAGCGCTCCCGGGCAGGGAAGAGCTTGGCTTTTCCAGCTCTGTTTGCTCCGTGTGTGAATATCCAGCAGGAGCTGCCAAAGCCGCCGTTCCCGGGCAGCCGCATCCCTGCATCCGGCTCTCCGGCTGCCAAAACCCTCCCCGGCTCACGGGCTCTAAATTAGGTTATCCAGACACCACGACAAACACTTCCAAACGGAGCGCGGAGCTGGAGGAAGGCGAGAAAATCCCAGCGCGGCCGCCCCGAGCTGTGCTCCTGACAAAAAGCAGGCGGACGCGGCTCCTCCGGGCAGCAGCGGCTTTTTGGCAAAAGCCAGGCTTGGAAAAAAACTTGGCACAGCCCTGGAGCAGGCACCCCTCACCAAAGGCTGACAAGGAGAAGGCGTCGGCAGTTAACAAAAGTTTTGGAAAAAAACAAACGCCGCTAAAATTCCTTGTGGATGCTTCAAGTTTTTTCCAGCTCCTCATTTGTCTCTGGGTTTTGTGGCTGCTTTTTCTTCCGCTTTGGGCTGTTTTTATTCCGGTGTTTTCCCTCCTCTCCACCAGGAATGTGACCAGCCAGAAGAGGGTCACGTCGGAAGCGTGACGAACGGGAGAGATTTGTCATACTGGGGCGATGAGACTTTCTCCAAATCATTTTCCCCTCCCCAAAACAGCTGCAACTTATGCAAATGAGCCCAAAGAAAAGCTAAACGGGGATTAGGTGCAACCCAGCAGCCCACGCTGGGTTCTTCCTCAGGGGAGATGGAGGAGGGAGAGGAGTCTGCGGTTACATTTCGGGCTGCACACCTATCCCAGCCCCCAGCCTGGGGTTACATTTCGGGCTGCACACCTATCCCAGCCCCCAGCCTGGCTTGAGGGATCCATCCCTGTGCACGGAGAAGGATGGGCGCCGTGTCTGGCCATCCTCAGCACCAAATCCTCCAGCAGCAGGGGAAGGCATTGGGATCAGGTGAAATCATCCCACTGCCCTCCCGCTCTGACACCTCCAGCCACATCTTGCACTGGGTGGCTGCATCATGTGCCAGCACCCAGATCCTCAGAGCCATGGCCAGGCGGTCCCAAAAAGTCCCTTTTCCACCCCAATCTTTCCCCACCCAGCACTGCAAGGTCAGGAGCAGCAGCATCCCCTGGTCTTTTGGGGTTTCCAGCCACAGCTGGTGCAACCGGGGCAGCACCCACCTCCAGAAGGGGCTGGATTTTGTCACAGTTCTTCCTCCTCCTCTTGCCGAGCATTCAAATACCGCTGAATTTGGCCTTTTGCTGGCTGTCGAGGGACTTTCCAGTTCGCGGAGCAGCCCGGAACTTCAGTCTCTTCCCCACCAGAGCAGATGTGGGAGTGTGCAGGGTCACCCGCAGCACATCCCTGGGGTCATCACAGAATCCCAGAACGGGCTGGTTTGGAAGGGATCTCAAAACCCACCCAGTTCCACCCCTGCCGTGGGCAGGGACACCTTCCACCATCCCAGGCTGCTCCAAACTCCGTCCAGCCTGGCCTGGGACACTTCCAGGGATCCAGGGACAGCCACAGCTTCTCTGGGCATCCTCCCTGGCATTTGCAGCATGTTCCAATGCCAGGGCAGGCGTTGTGCTCGCAGTAAATCAGCTCTCCACAGGTGCTGGGCTCCCCTGCCCAATCTTCATCCCGGGGAAAATCTGAGGGATCCCACCACATCCCCGCTCTGTTCCCTGCAGGGAGCTGACAGCGGTCGGTGGGACCAGGCTGCTGGCTCAGCTAGGGGAGGCAGTGGGTGTGTTTTCCAGGAGCTGTTTCGGAGAATATCGCTCGGACTGCATCCAGGGCAGGCTGAATTTCCTCTCCCCGGGGCCCCAGGCAGGAAACCGCCTCTGGGTTCACGTTCAGCCCTAATGAGGGCAGCACTTCAACACCAACTGTGGGTGTTGCAGCCGAGCTGCAAGGAGTTTTTATCTTGATTTCTTGCAGACCCGGGACTTTCACTTACACTGCCACAAGCACCCTCTGCCGTCACTGCTGGAGGAAACACCAGTTTCCTTCACGCAGCAGAGGAACTACAGCTTATCAYTAAATCTTGCCATGCTGATATCAGGCCCTTCAGCTCTTCTTTCCCACCGCTGCTGTCATCTTGACATTTCCCTGTGCTTCGTGTACACTCATCCAGAGCAGCAAAAAGTGGCCTGAGAGCAGACAGCCACGGTTTGCCGTTTATTCATCATCACATGCATCCTGCGAGCTGCTGGGTGTTGTGCAGCCCGTGTCGCTGCGGTCGGAACTGCTTTTCCTGGAAGAAACTCTGGGGGCTTCTCCCGGAGTTTGCTGGTGGGACAGGGGAGAACTGGGAGGGGCTGGGGGGGTCAGCAAAGATGCCACCATAGGGCGCACCTGTGGAATGGGCAGCGGGTAAACGCGGTACCTACTCAGGGTGAATTATATAATAAAACGCCGGAATTGTTTGGGTTGGAAGGGATCTGGGAGTTCATCCCGTTCCACCCCCCTGCTGTGGGCAGGGACACTTTCCACAGGATCAGGTTGGTTTCTGTGCCGTGACGGCCCCAGGGAATCAGCTCCAGCCCCTGCCCTGTGTCACCCCGGGGCTCAGTCCCCTGCCCTGTGTCATCCCGGGGCTCAGTCCCCTGCTCTGTGTCACCCCGGGGCTCAGCCCCAGCCCCTGCCCTGTGTCACGCCTCCAAGGGCTCGGTCCCCCCTCTCCCGTAACTCTCCCCGCTGTCCTTGGACCCAATTCCCCCTCCCGGGGCTCAGCCCTGTCCCCCTTCCGGTACCCCCACCCCGAGGGGTTCAGTTCCAGCTCCCTCCCCTCTGTGTCACCCCAGAGCCCCTCAGCCGTGACCCCCGGCACTCACCCCCGGCCCCTTCCCCTCCCTCTTCCCGGGAGCCCCGGTTCTCCCGGGGGAGCAGCGCAACCCCCCCGCCCCGCAGTCGTGCTCCGCCGGTCGGGGCGGGCCGGGTGGCGAGAAGGGGCCGTCCCGGGGGCCGTGCCCKCTTGTTCCGCACCTCCTTCCTCCTCCTCCTCCCTCCCTCCGCGGCGGGGGCCGCCCGTCCCGCCGGGACAGTCGCCGCTGGCAGCCGCGGCGCGGTGCGGTGCGATCCATCCATCCCATCGCATCCYGGTGCGGGACATCCATCCCATCTCACAGCGGTGCCGGACATCCATCCCATCCCATCCCATCCCGGCGCGGTGCGGTGCGGGATATCACCCCAGCCCGGTGCGGTGCGGGACGTTTATCCCAGCCGGGTGCAGCGCGGGACATCCCGGCGCGGAGCGGGGCATCCATCGCATCCCGTCCCATCCCGGCGCGGCGCATCCCGGCTCGGGCTGTCCCGATGGAGACCGAGGGTTACCGCTGCCGCAGCAGCCGCTACATCGAGAGCGGGCAATCGGCCGTGCCCAGCTCGGTGCTGTTCGCCGCCGGGCTTTTGGGGAACGTCCTGGCCCTGCTGCTGCTGGGCCAGCACCGGCGGCGCTCCCGATCGCCCGGGGGCCGCCCGCCGCGGGTGTCGGCGTTCTACGTGCTGGTCAGCGGGCTGGCGGTCACCGACCTGCTGGGCAAGTGCCTGCTCAGCCCCATCGTGCTGGCCGCCTACGCCTACAACCGCAGCCTCAGCGAGCTGGGGCCGGGGGGACGCGGCGACGACGAGCCGGGGGTGCTGTGCCAACTCTTCGCCTTCCTCATGGCCTTCTTCGGGCTGGCCCCCACCCTGCTGCTGCTGGCCATGGCTCTGGAGTGCTGGCTCTCCTTGGGGCATCCCTACTTCTACCGGAGGCACCTGACCCGCCGCCTGGGTGCCACGCTGGGGCCGGCGGCCGCCGGGCTGTGCGCCCTGTTCTGCGCGCTGCCCCTGCTGGGTTTCGGGGTGCCCATGCAGTACTGCCCGGGCACGTGGTGCTTCATCCGGATGGCCGGCGGTGGCCCACGCGAGCTGGCCTTCCCCGTGCTCTACGCCAGCCTGATGGGCTTGCTGGTGCTGGCCATCGTGGCGTGCAACGTGAGCAGCATGCGGCAGCTGTACGGCATGGCCCGCCGGCAGCCCCGCCGCGGGGCCCCCCCCGCCGCCGCCCCGCGCATGGAGGAGCTCGATCACCTCGTCCTGCTGGGGCTCATGACCGTCCTCTTCACCGTCTGCTCGCTGCCGCTCATYGTGAGTAATCCCATTGCCCCCCGACCGCCGGGAAAATCCCCCCTGGCACCGGGAGTGGTGCCTCGCCGGGGTCCGTCATTGCATTAATCCCCTTGGAAAGTTTTCTTTCCTCAGCACGGTCTCCTCACAGGGAGGTTGGATTGGATGATTTGGCCCCTTTGGAAATGTCCCTCACCCTGCCCCTGGGGTCAGGGTACTGCTAAAGACCCTGGAATATCACCCCCGCCAGCACCGCTCAGTCCTGGGGGGATCAGAGCTCTGATTTTGGGATAAATCCTGGCACCACCACCAGSTCATAGGGGCCGAGACTGCTTCCTTCTAAAAACTCCCCCATACTGCCCACAGGGAACAGGCCATTGCCTAAAACCCCTTGGAATAACCCCACAACACCACCACCCTCTCCAGAGGGGGTCAGGGGGTTGTTTTGGCCCCTTGGAATAAACTCTGGAACCACCACCCSCTCCTGGAAGTGCCAGGGGGGTCCCTTGCTTTAGTCCCCTGTGAGTAACCCACCCCTACCACCCTCTGGGATCCTCTCTGAGGGTCAGGTTATTGCTTTAATCCCTTTGGAATAAATCCCCCCTGGCTCCACTGTCTCATTCTGGGATGCTGCCCCAGCTCAGCACCAGCACTACATCCCCAGTCCCTAATTTATTTAAATTAATTAAATTAATTAAATTAAATTAAATGTGTTTAAATTTACTTAAATTAAAGGTTATCCTTTAACCCTCATGGAAAAAAAAACAAAAACCCTATCACCACCAGTCTGTGCCAGAGGTATGGGGGAGTCAGGGAATTACAGTGTCCCCCCTCTGAGTGTCCCCCACCCTGTCCCAGGGACCTGGCTGTTGCTTTAACCCCACTGGAATAACCTCCAACACCCATCCTGGGATGGGGGAAGTTAATTCATTGTTTGAATCCCGCTAGAATAACCATAGCAACCCCACCACCCTGTCCTGGGGAGAGTAATTTTGTTGCCCCCTTCCTGGAGTGCCCACTAGCAACACCACATACCATGCTTTAATTATTATTGTTAATTAATGCTTTAATTCCCCTGGAATAAACCCCCTCCTCCCCCCATCATCACCTCTCTGTCCCAGGGGTGCTGGAGGGGT